TCATTGATGAGATCATCAGTCTGGAGTCCAGTTACAATGATGAGATGCTCAGCTATCTGCCTGGAGGCACCACAGGGCTGCAGCTCCCCAGCACGGTGAGGCCCAGAGATGGGAGGTTGGACTGAAAGCAAGGGCATCCTTCCGTCACTAAGACTACACCTGTGCTAGCTGGCTGAGACCCTAGCACTGATACAGAGAGGGAAGCCAGGTGATGAGTGAAGCTTGCCGTTACCCAGCACTTCATGCCCTACTGCATTGAGAGGTGGCCCATGCAGACTGATATATGGGCTAGGAAGTCAGTGGAAGTATTAGCTCATATCAGAGTGTTTAGGCTTTGCAGTGAGTAGTACTAAGACATGGGAGTCATAACAATTTGTCCCGACAAACAGGTCATTGGGCCATACCCAGACCGTGTAGTGACAGACATACCAAAAGGCTCAAAACATGAAAGCAAGTGTGACAAGTGGTTAAATTTGTAATGACTGAAATGTAGCAAGTCTTTTGAAGTGAACTAGGCTGAGAGATTAGATTTTTGAAAAGAGAAGATAAAACTTCTTAGAGCAAGAGCTATACCATTATAGCTTTTTATTTTGAGACAGGCTCTCACTATGTAGTCCAGCCTGGCTTTTAAAGTCACTGTGTAACTCAGGCTGGCCTTTTTTTTTTTTTTTTGCGGTACCGGGGATTGAACTCAGGACCCTGCACTTGCCAGGCAAGCGCTTATTCTACTGAGCCATCTCCCCGGCCCCAGGCTGGCCTCAAACCTGTGGTGATCCTCCTGCTTCAGTCTACCAGGTACTGGTATTACAGGCATGTGCCACCATAACATTCTGATTCTGGAATATTTTAAGACACTTATAACTTGCTTTGCAACACATCAATAGTTATAGCTTTGCTTTTACCCTCCCCCCTTGCCAAGAGGATTGAAGCAGGCATGGTGGTACACATCTGTAATCATTGCTACTCCAGAGGCCAAGACAGGAGGATTGCAAGTTCAAAAGAGGCCACCCTGAGAAGTTAACAAGAGCCTATCTTAAAACAAAAAGGTGTGGAGCTGGTGTGGTGGCACATGTCTATAATCCCAGGACTGTGGGAGGCTGAGATAGGAAGATGGCAAGGATTCTTTTTTTTTCCTTTTGTTTTGGTTTTTTGAGACAGGGTCTCACTATGTAGTTCGGGCTAGCCTTGAACTCACTAGGTAGACCAGGCTGACCTCGAATTCACAGTGATCCGCCTGCCTCAGTCTCCCAAATACTGAATTATAGGCATGTACCAACATGCCCAGCAAGAATGGCAAGAAGTTTGAGGCTATCCCAAGGAATTTAGGGACTTACCAAGATCCCATTTCAAAAGTTAGAATGTTAAAAAAAAAATAACGGTATATAGCTCAGTGCAAAGGCCCTGGGTTCAGTCCCTAGAACTACAACAAAACAGGTACCTGTTTGGGGCTGGGGATGTAACTGAGTGGTACAGTTTGCCTAGCATCACAGCACTATACAATACTAAACAAAAAATGATGCCAATTTATCAGAACTCTTCATTGCTGTGGACACAACACAGCCAGAGATTGGAGAGCGGGATTTTCTATTAGAGTCTGCAGATCAGAGCAGGTTTCAAGACATAGCAGCTTATTGAAAAGTGAGACTTGGCTATACTTAACTAGTGTGTTATGCTAGAATATAGCCAGGATAGGGGTCGGGGAGATAGCCCAGTAGAATAAGCGCTTGCCTGGCAAGCACAAGGGCCTGAGTTCAATCCCTGGTTCTGCCAAAAAAAAGAAAATAGACGATAGCCAGGATAGTGTGAAGCAGGGAAAAACATTTAAGCCAATGTGAAGGGACAGCTAATTATTAAATAGTTCAACAAGAAATCCTGAGAGATCAGAATGTGCAGAAACGTACTGGAGTCAGGATCATGGTATGTGGCAGCAGGAGATGAGGTCCACGTGGTAGTAGGACTCAATCACCATGAAAGACTGGAGATTAGGTTAGAAATCTCTAGAAGGCCAGATTTTGGATGGAATGTTGCCATGACAATTTATCAAGCTCTGAGAAGATTCGGTTGGAGTATTCCAAGAATTTTGGATCAGAATGTTGTGCTGGGAGGAGCTAATATAATAGACTGGAATGTCACATCAGGGGCCAAAAACTTGAGAATGGTGGTCTTATAGCATTTCCCCTCAGAGCCAGCCCTGGGCTTTGGGGGAGGAGCTTCAGAGGCTACCAAGAGATCTGAGGACCTGGACAGGCTGATGGGCATATCAGGCAGAGTTAGGTCCCCAGGCCAAGAAGTCAAGGTCCACTTTGGTCTGTTCCCACATTGGGTTGTCACCTAAAATTGCCTTTAAAGGAAAAGGAAGCTGGGTGTAGTGGCACATGCCTGTAATCCCAGCACTCTGGGAGCCTGAAGCAGAAGGATCAAAAGTTTGAACCCAGCCTGAACACTTTCATGACTTTCTATACCCTATCTTAAATTTTTAAAACAACAAAACAAAACCTCTAATCCCAGGAATTAGGAGGCTGATGCAGGAAGATCGCAGTGATTAAAACCCAGCCTGAGCTACATAGTAAGACCCTGTCTCAAAAAGAGAAAATTTTGTAAAAAGGAGTGACAGTGTAGCTTAATGTGAAGGCCCTGGGTTCAGTCCCCAGTACTGCAAAAAGGGAAGAAAGGAAAAGGAAGGGTTCTTAGGGATCAAACATTCTTTGTGTCAGGGGGCCCCGATTTTGGAGGGTGTGTGGAGGAGGGTCAGGAGCCTTTAGTTTCTAAAGAGAGACTAAGCTTAGGACCTGTTCCCAACCATTGTTTCTGTGCCCTCACTGCCCCCAGCTGCCTGTGTCAGGGAACCTGCTTGATGTGTACAGTAGTCAGGGTGTGGCCACATCAGCCATCACTGTCAGCAACTCCTGCCCAGCCGAGCTGCCCAACATCAAACGGGAAATCTCTGGTAAGTGCTAGGGTCTTGATTCCATGCCCGCACCCTGTATCTTTGGCTAAGCCCTATTCCTGCCAGGTCAGGGGATGGACCTGATTCTGGGGAAAGGGGTTTGAGCATTTTAGAAGTGGGCTGGGCATCTGGGCATGGTGGCACACACCTATAATTCCAGCACTTGGGAGGCATAGGCACGAGGATCCCTGCAAGTTTGAGGCAAGCCTGGGCTACATAGTGAGTTCAAGGCCAGCCTGAACTACATAGAGCTTGTCTGGAAAAAAGCAAATGGATTCAGGGTGTAGCTCAGTGGTAGAGCACCTAGTTAGCATGTTCAAGACCCTGGATTCAATCCCCCGCATTGCAAAGAAAGAAAAAGGAATGAACTGTCTCCCCCTCTTTATCCATATGGCTTATGGCTTCACAAACAGTAGGACAGCTTTGTTTTTGTTAAAGTCACTGCTAGCCAAGTGTGGCAGTACACACCTGTAGTTTCAGCACTTGTGAGACTGAGGCAGGAGGATTGCAGGTCAAGCCCAACATAGCTAAGTGCAAAGGCCCTGGGTTCAATCTCAATAATAGTAATAATATAATTTAAATAAAAATTTAAAACCTACTTCAACCCAGTACCATGATGTACACATGTAATTCCGGCTACTTGAGAGGCTGAGGCAGGAGGATCACTTAAACCCAAGGATTCAGGGCTGGTCTAAGCAGTACAGCAATATCCCATCTCTTTAAAAAAACAAAACAAAAACTTTAGGGGAGCTGGGGAGATAGTTCAGTGGAATAAGCACTTGCCTGGCAAGTGCAAGGACCTGAGTTCAATCCCCAGTTCCGCAAAAAAAAAACTGTAGAAAGTAGGAGGATGACAAGTTCAGGCCCAGCCTGGGCAACTTAGTGACTTAGCGAGGCCCTGTCTCAAAAAAAATGGACTGGGGATGTAGTGAGAAGGCCCTGGGTTCAATTCCCAGTTTTACCAAAAAAAGAAATGCAGTCTTTCCCCTCCCCCTCCACACGTGCACCTATGCTGCCCTCCTTGGGTCAGCAGCACTGAACACCCCCACTTTCTTTCAGAAACCGAGGCAAAAGCCCTTTTGAAGGAGCGGCAGAAGAAAGACAATCACAACCTGAGTAAGCCCCAGCGCGAGTGCACTCACCCGTGTGTTGACCAGCCCTTTGTGTTCCTGTGTTCTGGGCCTCCCTTTGTAGGGACCTCCCCGTAACAGCTACAGCACCCCAGTTTTTCTCTTCAACTTTTGACAACTATTTCCTGTTTTCTCTTTCTCCCCTTGCTTCAAAGTTGAGCGTCGCAGGCGATTCAACATAAACGATAGGATCAAGGAGCTTGGCACCCTCATCCCCAAGTCCAATGACCCGTGAGTCAGGGGCTGGGGGCTGAAGACCAGTGGGAAGGGTGGGTGACCTGTGCCATAGCAGCTGCCCCTCAGGTCCACCAGACCACCTCACCCAAGCAGCAGTTGTCCTCTGGTCCTTCTCAGATTGAGAGGGGTTGCAGCCACTCACCATGTCCCTCGCTCAGATTTTAAGTGCATGACATGGTTTGCATGGCCCATCTGCCTTCAACTTTAGTATATGGAGCCGGGGAGATGGCTCAGTAGAATAAGTGTTTCCCTGGCAAGCTCAAGGGCCTGAGTTCATTCCCTGGTTCTGCGGAAAACAAAAACAAACAAACAAAAAAAAATATGTGCTGCCAAAGCAAGCACCTGTCCACTTCCTATAGGACGCGTGCATCTAGTTTCCTATTTATTCCTTTATTTGTTCTGGAGCTCTGCGTGGAGTTTCAGCTTTGGGCCAGGCACCAAGCAAGCCCCTGAGGGGTACTAGAGGGAACGAGAGAAAAGTCCCTTGACTTCATGAAACTGATGCTTTAAAGGAGGCAAACAGTTAACAAGATAAATAAGTGAAGTTTAGAAAATCTGTCCTGAGTGTTAAGAATAAGAGGGGGGGCCGGGAGACGGCTCAGTGGAAAAAGCGCTTCCCTGGCAAGCACAAGGGCCTGAGTTCAATCCCCGGTTCCGCCAAAAAAAAAAAAAAGGAAGAATAAAGAATGAGAGATGGGGGCATTAGGGAGGGTGACAATTTAGGGTACAGAGGGTGGAACAGAGCAAGCCTCACAGGACAAGGAAACAATAAAGAGCCCAAGGATGGGGTTGGGAGTTAAGCTAAGTAGTAGAGCACTTGCTTAGCATGTGTGAAGCCCTGGTGATGGCTAGCACCGAGAGTTGGGGGAGAACCTAGGTTGACCACCAGGAATCACATGGTTGTCTGGTGGAGTATTTTGGACAGGAGACATAGCAAGTGGGGCCGAGGAGATGGCTCAGTGGAATAAGCGCTTCCCTGGCAAGCGCAAGGGCCTGAGTTCTATCCCTGGTTCCACCAAAAAAAAAAAATACATAGCAAGTAAAGGGGCATTGAGATGGGAATGATTTTCCATGTTATAAAAGCAATATGAGGGGCTGGTGAGATGGCTCAGTGGTCTAAAGCACCTACTTAGAACAAACTAAGCCAATCAAAGTACAGGGACCGCGGTTCAATCCCCCAGCACCACATGCCAGCCAGCCCCCGCCCCCATGGGCTGAGCAGGCCACACACACAAAATAAATAAATAAATAGATTTTTTTAAAAAAACAATATGAAGCCAGGTGTGATGACACACACCTATAATCCTAGCACTTGGGAAGCTGAGGCAGGAGAATCACCAGTTTGAGATCAGCCTGGGCTTACATAGTAAGTTTAAGGCCAGTCTGAACTGCATGGAGAGACGACCTTCTGAAAAAAAAGTAGCAATATGAAACTAATATGGCTGTAGTGAGACGAATCAGAGGGACATGGGTATAAGAAAAGGTAGGAGAGGTCAGGTTTTAGATGTGATGGTCACCAGTGGAAGGTTACAAGCAGAGGGCTTTGCCTGATCATTCCATCCCTTTGGTGTAACCCCGAGTACATGGTAGGGTGCTCCAGTCTGCTTGGTGCAATCCCCCATCAGCTCCCAAGAGACTGCACATGCAGCACTTTCATCTTCCCTCGGCCCTTCAGGGAGATGCGCTGGAACAAGGGCACCATCCTGAAGGCCTCTGTGGATTATATCCGAAAGTTGCAGAAGGAGCAGTAGCGCTCCAAGGATCTGGGGAGCCGGCAGAGATCTCTGGAGCAAGCCAACCGAAGCCTGCAGCTCCGGATTCAGGTCTGGAAGGAGGGAATGGTAGCAAGGGTAACAAGGCCTCTAAGGATGACAGGGCCTCTCAACATGCTTGGTATCCCTCAGCCTTTAATTCACGTGATGGTGATGGTGATTATATATAAATAATTGTCTTAACTTTAATAATATCAGTGACTATATAGATAGTATGAGTACATAGTGTGTATCTTGTGACAAGAGCTAACTTGTTTCATTCTTAGAATACATTTATTGCAAGGGCCTGGGTTCAAGCCCTGGTTCTCCAAAAAAAAGAATACATTTATTTATTTATGAATGATAGAGTCTGTGTAGCTCAAGCTAGCCTTGAACTCAACTATGTAGCTCAGGATGACCTAGAACTCATGGTGATCCTGCCTCAGCCTCCCCAGTACTGGGATTATAAAAATCATTCACCACCACACCCAGCACTGAACAACACCCATATTATGGTTCTACTCATTTAATAGACTGAGGCTCAGAGAGTTTAAGCTACTTGCATAAAGTTCCAAAACTAGTGAGTGGCAGGAGCTGAACTGGAAGCTATGCAGCCTGCCTTGCTAATTGGTACACTCTGCCTCTGAGAGACTGAACCTGTCTTTCTTGTATTAACCCCTACTTTTTGCAGGAGCTAGAACTGCAGGCCCAGATCCACGGTCTGCCAGTGCCTCCCGCCCCAGGGCTACTCTCCATGGCCACAAGCTCGGCCTCCGACAGCCT